CCACGGCAGGTTCTAAGATTAGGTTAGAATGGTGGCGGAAAAACTTCTACGCTCAAGGTGCGGCTAAGTGCCATTTTGATACCATATTGGTATTGTGCTTCTGCTCCTCAGTAGAGCTGGACATTTGCAAAAAAGGTGCTCTGTTGTTTCCCGCTTGTTCGCGCCTCTGCAGATTCTACAGAAATCGTTGTAGGCAATGCCCAGCCTTCTCGTGTGGATGCCAACCGGCCAAAGCCCAGCAAGAGTCGCTGCAAGCCTTGCAACGTCCGGTCTAGGTTTTCTGCCACCTTCGTTCTGATTTCTGAAGATTGCGGAGAAAGATGTTTCTATATAGGGTTCCAATTGATCCTCGATCGACACCAATATGGAACCATTTGTCGCTAACGTCTGACCTCGCACCCAAACTAAATCTAGATCGAGCTGACTACTTACTGAGTTTAAAAGAGTCCTACATTCCTTGATTAGTTTCGACCTTGGTGTAAAAGACGCCAAGGCCTTGATTGTCACCTGGCTATCCGAGAAAATGGACAAAAATGCAAAATGGCGCAAATAGACGGCAGTCTGCGGCTATAGCGAATACTTCTGCCTGGAAAACACTAGCAAAATCGGGCAGGTGAATTGATCTTCTTAATCCCAGGGTATATCCAGGCATATATGTATATTAAGTTTCCCGTGACAGTCGACTCTCGACGGGAGAATGACCCCGAAAGGCCTGTGAAGCTCTACTTCGGATAGCATGTAATCGGTAGCCAGTCTTATCTTAGGTGAGACTCGAGAAGTTATACTGCTATGACCGATCGTTCTCTCTTTCGATAAGGTATATAAGGAATAGGTTTATAATAACATTGAGAACGTCACTCAATGTTTTCTTAGCTTCCAAATTGAGCTGAAATCGTTCTTCTGCGAAGCATCGCCATTAGCCATGCGTTTATAGACTCTTCACGCCAACCTCGTCCAGGGAATTTTGGATCGCTTAGTTTTACCTGAACATTGTTAAAGGCTCCTTCTATGTCGAAGAAGGTTGCCAGAGTATAGTGCTTAAATTCGAGTGACTTAAGGAAACTCCGTCTCGGTAGATCCTCCTCGTAAATATGCGTGCCCGCAGACATACAATCGCCGTTGAAAATACTCCGTACGTGCGCGTGTAGAACCCTCTCGTAGCTTCAAGAACAAAGGAAGTTAAGCTAATTGGTCGAAAATCTTTAGCCTAGACGTGCCCTCGCCCTCCAGGTTTTGGGATTAACACCACTTTCACTCGCCTCTACGACAGGGGGACGTAGTTAAGGGCTATACATCATTAGAAAATTAACAAAAGCCATGGCATGATAAGGACTTCAACGCCCATGATATTGTTGGCTTTGTGAAAATTGATTATTCGGGAGGTTCTAGTGTAGACAAGTTTAAAACTTGATTTCACTTTGCAATTTTCTAAGACGACAACCCTGCGCCTGTGCTAAGATAGAGTGTTTGTTATTTAAAAAATGTTCTGCTCTGCCTAAACAACCGACAGCTAGCTTCCATTCGAAATTGCAAGTTTGATACCGGGTCCATAACAGCCAGTACCCAGCACAGTCTGTGTATCAATTTAAGTAACTGGGACTTTCACTAACTTGGCCATGGAATCATAAAGTCCACATCTTTCCTGGCATCGCCCTAATAGTTCTTGTGTGAAGCTTCTTTCTATAGAAGTTGTCCCTAGTGGCTGCTGCTGCTTGACAAAAGCTATGATCCAAGAGGAAGCTACTCCAGAACGCTGTTGAGCAAGTTCTCATTGATTCAGTGACGGAGAGACTAATATCTCTGAAATTTATTGAGATGTCGTATGGGACATTTTTGTAGTGTTTTCTGCTATCATACCACGGATGCATGCGATGCAGTCGGGTAGACGAACATACGGTAAAGTTCTTTTGAGATAAGACCACATGTTCCACCATCCCCCTTATATAGCAAAATCCCTTATTATTTAAACTCGTCAGAGTAATAAAGCACTGTCTCACCAAGAGTGACCGTACTATGGATATAAGCACAGCGTTTTGTGGATTTATGATGAGGTCCTCATTGAGCTACCAGTTTGAAACCACACAAAAGGCAGCACTCAGAAGGTTCGGGACATTATCTTTAAACTTTTCCATGGTAGTTGAAAATGAATTTTATCGTGCAGAAAGTCTTCCAAATACCAGAAAAAGTTTTTTAGATACACAGAAGTGTTCCGCTTACTCATCTCCTTCAAGGCAGGGCGTATAAGTGGGGTTTTCATACATATGTACATACATATATGCCAATCACATTCAGGTCTTTGTACCACAATACCTAGTAAATTATTTCCCTGTATACCATGGAGCTCAATTCCCTATTGAAAGGAGTCAGTGCTAGTGGCTTTCAATGTTGTATCCCGAGCAAAGCCTGAGAAGTGAAATTTGTACTAAAGTGGCTAAGGATTCACCCGCATTGTCGCACCTCGAAGATAGATTAAGGGCTTAGTTGACTGAGTTAAATAAATAGTTGTCAGCAAATTATTATTATATGCATATTTACATATATATATCTATATATATATAGATATATGTACATATGTCTACTGAGACCTTGATTGAAAGCAAATACTACGTTACAATCAGACCATAAAGAATTCAATATTCCACATTCATGGAAACATGTATTCAAGAACACCAACAACTCCAACCAATGGGTTGTATGAAAATGAGTTGCGAATGCGATAAGTGTCCGACAACTGACCCGCGTAGATGACAGCAGGCAGGCAGCGACCAGAAAGCGCGTAGCTGAATCACAACTAAAGAAAAGAAAAGCAAGAAAATGGAAAAAACAATATCAGCTAGAAACAAATCAACAACAAACAATGATCGCGGCTACTAGTTAATGCAAGCGACGTTGGCAACATCAGCGCACATGTGGTATCAAAGAAAACAAAACAGAAAATGCATTTGCAACAATAAGTCAACAACAACACAAAAACAAGTATTAAAACAGCAAACAGTAACCAGATTGTGATTGCGATCGGAAAATATCAGCACATATTGGTGTCTGGAAGTCAGCAACTACATACAGAGGGAGAGCAATATATATTAGCATGCCTAGAAATGTGCATACAAACTTATGTATTTGCATTAGGGTGGTCCAAAAATAGGATTTTTTTTGTTAAAAAAAATATATATATATTAAGAACGGTCTCAAACCCCATAGAGTTTTCCACGTATTTTATATGGAGAAAACACTTTTTAATAGAAATGGGATAGAAATCTTGAAAATCTAAATTTTTCTATCGAAAAACTCTGTTTCTCCAATAAAAATATCACATTGATTTTTTTACCATTTTTTGATATTCATTATTTTTTATAAGTTCCACAAAAGCCCCAAAAAAATTCAAGGGCGGCCCCATAAAAAATCGTCAGTTTTTTTTTTCTTATATACAAATTTTATATATATTTTATATAGTTCTAAATATATTTTCTTAAGAAACAAAACATATGGTTATTCTTTTTTTCATTTAGAAAAATTCTAGAGAGTAAGAGCGTAAGATTTTAAACTTTTTTTTACCACCCTATGAACATGCGTACATATGTGTGTATTAGGGTGGTCGTTAACATTATGAACATCTAAATTTTTTATGATGCGCCTCTACATATTTTATTCTAGGTATAAAATAAAGACATTCACAAAAAATTTAAATTTTTTTCAAAATTTTGTAGGGGTCGCTACCAGGATTTAAAAAAATTTTATTGAAATTGGTCAAATTTTTGCAATTTAAAAAGAATTCAAACGCCATTTTTTTAATTACGAAATTTTCGTGGTTTAATTTTTTTTAACAAGAAAAATATTTAGGGGTGTCCCATGATGTTGTTATTTTTAAGGACCACCTTAATTTATATACACGTTTGTATGTATGCAAGTATTTATAGCAGCCACAATGACCGCATGGCAAGTGGAGGAATGCGCCACCGCCACTGCGAAAATGCCTTATTTTATCAGCTGTTTGCATTCGAGACGGCTGGCTACTGTTATTACAGCCGCTTTCCTGTACGCTTTTTATTGTTGTTGTTTTAATAACTGTTGTATGGCGGCGCATCTCAGCGCAGACTAGAAGAAATGGTGCATCACCGCCTCAATCGCTTCTTTTTTTTTTTGGTTGTGTTGTGTTGTATTGCTTTGCTTGCGCATTCACTTGCTGCCTAAGCATCAGCTGTTGTTTGCAGCATGCAACACAGTTGCTAGTTTTTGTGGCAACAACAACTACTATAGATATCAGTGACTTAAATATCATACACGAAAAATTGCTGAAAGCCACTATTGCTGGCGGTAATGTAACAGCAACTGAGGAAGCTTAGCTGTTTGTGAGCTGTGTTGCGGCAACAAGTTGCCGTCGCGTCGTTCACGGTTGCAGAACATTTTAAATGCGATAATGTTTGATTTAAAGCCACGATAAGCTACTCAGTTGGAGAGACGACAGGTTGCTCGCTTGCTTTATTGGCAACAACTGAGTTGTGATTTGCGCCTCATCGCTGGTTTTGCTGCTTTCAGCAATGGGTGGAAAAATTATGAAATTTCTTGTGATTTTTTTTTTTGTGTTCATCGCCTTATCTTTGTGTAATCAAGCTGAAAATTGAAATTTGTTGTAACCTGTGGCCCAGCTGGTGTACATAGTTGGATTTTTACAGATTCGTTATCTAAATATCTGAAAATAGTGGGTAAGGTAATAAATATTTCTGTACATATTTGGTATTTTCTGTTTTGTAATTTAGTTTGGTAATTTGTACTCGTATTCTATATTTCGTATTTTGCATTCTGTATTTCGCAGTTTGTGTTTGGTATTTTGTATTTTGCATTTTTAATTTTTCGTTTTTTTTTTTTTATTTGTATTCTGCATTATGTATGTACCTAGTATTTATTACTTGGTTTTTGTGTTTCGAATTTTTTGTTTTGTATTTGGTATTTTCTAATCTTGAATTTGGTACATGTATTCTGGGATTTGTATGTTATATTGGCTATGGTAATGGTGTTGATCTTAGTATTGGGATTGGTATAAGTATTGGTACTGGTATGGGTATTGGTATTGATATTGATATAGGTATAGGTATTGACTTGGTATTGGAATTTTTATTGGTATTGGTAATGGTGTTGATACTGATTCGGATATTAGTATTGGTTTTGGTACTGGAATTTATTGATATTGGTATGGGGTTGGTATGGTATTGGTTTGGTATTTGTATCGGTATTGGTGCCAGTATAAGTAATGGTATTGGTGTTGATACTGGTATTTTATTTGGTGCTGGTATTGGTTTCGGTATGGGCATTAGCATTAAAATCAGTATTTATATAGGTAAGGTATAGTTATTGGCATTGGTATTGGTATTAGTATTGGTATTGTCATTGGCATGGGTACTGACATTGGTATTGGCATTTTAATCCGTATTGGTATTGGTGTTGGCGTTGGATANATGGTGTTGGTACTGGTATTGGTATTGCTTTTGCTACCAGCATTGGACTGAGTATTGTTATTTGCGTTGGTATTGCTATGGAGATTGGTTTTGGTTTTGATATGGTATTTGCATACATAGGTATTGGTGCCAGTATTGGTACTGGTCTACTACCACTGATTCGGATATTAGTACTACTACTGATTCGGATATTAGTACTACTACTGATTCGGATATTAGTATTGGTTTTGGTACTGGAATTTATTGATATTGGTATGGGGTTGGTATGGTATTGGTTTGGTATTTGTATCGGTATTGGTGCCAGTATAAGTAATGGTAATGGTGTTGGTACTGGTATTTTATTTGGTGCTGGTATTGGTTTCGGTATGGGCATTAGCATTAAAATCAGTATTTATATAGGTAAGGTATAGTTATTGGCATTGGTATTGGTATTAGTATTGGTATTGTCATTGGCATGGGTATTGACATTGGTATTGGCATTTTAATCCGTATTGGTATTGGTGTTGGCGTTGGATACCAGCTACTTGGTTATCTTAAAAATCTTTAAATCTCGTTTTATAATTTACTTTCCAGCGAATTCTACATTAAACATTCCAGATATTATCCATTTATTCTAAAGCTCACCAACTTCCCTGTGGGTAAAATCTCTAGTTCTGAACTGGTGCGCTTCTAGTACACTTAGACCCATTACTGGTTCGCGATAAATCTCTTTTGTATACAAACAACTGGCGAATTTAACATTGCGATGTTATANGCCAGCGAATTCTACATTAAACATTCCAGATATTATTTATTCTAAAGCTCACCAACTTCCCTGTGGGTAAAATCTCTAGTTCTGAACTGGTGCGCTTCTAGTATACTTAGACCCATTACTGGTTCGCGATAAATCTCTTTTGTATACAAACAACTGGCGAATTTAACATTGCGATGTTATAGGATTTGGAAGTCGTGCCCCGCTGCATTACCTTTTCTATAGTTCGGAACCAGTGCTAAATTCGACAGACGAAAAAAGTACTATGAAGTTTTGGAACGCAGCCCCTTTGGTTTTTCCATGGTAGCGGTTTTTAATTATTTGCAAAGAAATATGATTTTAATCTGAAATCAAATTTGTTTGAATGAATGTAATTCAAATTTTGCATTTGAAAACACGTTTACTTGCGTTTGGCTGTAGCTGAGTTTGCAGAAGTGTGTGCTGTTATTGGTTAGATTCCAGAAGGTCCCACGATGTTAAAACGTTAAAGCAAATTTTTGTTTTTTTATTACAAAAATATAAAAAACCATCTGCGAAGTACAGAATGAAAGCGTATTTGAACGAACATTTTTGTTATTGATTACCAAAATATAAAAAAGCATCTGCGAAGTGCAGAATGAAAGCGTATTTGAACGAAAAACCCGTCAAGCAAATATCTATTTAAATCCCTTTTTTGATAGCTCCGAACTAGTTCTAAATTCGTAATCTTAGATATAGATTTCCAATGAAAAATTTGTTTCATACCTTGGGTCTTATCACATTTTCTGTGACTATTTTGGACCTAGCAAATTTGCTTATCACTGAAGAGAAGCGGTTAGATCTTTTGAAAATTGTTCTTGCTTCTTGCACTAAAATANTTTACAAACAACTGGCGAATTTAACATTGCGATGTTATAGGATTTGGAAATCGTGCCCAGCTGCATTACCTTTTCTATAGTTCGGAACCAGTGCTAAATTCGACAGACGAAAAAAGTACTATGAAGTTTTGGAACGCAGCCCAAAATATAAAAAAGCATCTGCGAAGTGCAGAATGAAAGCGTATTTGAACGAAAAAAAGTTAACAATCCCTTTTTTGATAGCTCCGAACTAGTTCTAAATTCGTAATCTTAGATATAGATTTCCAATGAAAAATTGTTTCATACCTTGGGTCGTTATCACATTTTCTGTGACTATTTTGGACCTAGCAAATTTGCTTATCACTGAAAAGAAGCGGTTAGATCTTTTGAAAATTGTTCTTGCTTCTTGCACTAAAATATAATTTTTTAGAAAAATTGGACTTGGCAGCAACATTTCGCTCTTAGTACCACATTTCGCTACTTTTAAACTGCTGGGGATCTAGTTACTATCGGACTGGTTCGTTTTTGACGATATAGATCTAGTAAGGAACTATAAATTTGGTTCGTCAGTTCGGGATTTCTCTACAGGGTTAGTATCTACATTAGAGTGGTTCACAAATTGGAAATTCATAAACGCTACATCAGAAAATTGTTATTTGTGATAAAAAAAAGAGACACGTATTTTTTTATTTTGGAAAAAAGTTTTCTTAGAGGTCGCGCTGGTCGGTTTTTTATAAAAACGCTGATGTTCTCAATTTTTTTATTTTCTTGATATGTTAAAATGCAGCTAAAAAAGTGGTTTTTACATATAATTACTCTGGTATTATTGGGGAACTTTCCCTTAATTACAGACCTGTCTTGGACATTTAGAATGGGCCTTATTCCCGAAAATATCGTGCCCTAACCGCCAAAATAATGTAAGCGACATTTTTTTCAAAAAAATGCTCTCGAAAGACACTAGCAAAATTAAAACATTGATACTGAACGATTTACNCTGTCTTGGACATTTAGAATGGGCCTTGTTCCCGAAAATCTCTCTTTGAAAAAAATGTCGCTTACATTATTTTGGCGGTTAGGGCTCGTTATGCTCTCGAAAGACACTAGCAAAATTAAAACATTGATACTGAACGATTTACGCATTGCCATGGATTGTAGCTTGTTACCAGGGGGTTTCTGGGGTTGCTAATTAGGAATCTGAAGTCAGTTTTTCGAAATTCAAAATGGAGGATCCAAAATGGCGGTCCATTAAAAAAAATGATTGGATTTGTTCGAAACCCGACACTCGAGAGTTTTTGGGGTCGCCGATTACGAATCTGAAGTCAATTTTTTCAAATTCAAAATGGCGGATCTAATATGGCGATCAAATTAAAAAAAAAATACTAAAATTGAACGTTTTAAACATTGTCAAGGGTTAAAACACGTTTCCAGTGGGTTTCTGGGGTTGCTGATTACGAATCTGATGTCAGATTTTCGAAATTCAAAATGGTTTATCCAAAATGGCGACCAACTTTAAAAACATGATTGGATTTGTTTGAAACTCTTAACCGCCATTTTGAGTTTTGAAAATCTGTCATCAGATTCGTAATCAGCAACCACAGAAACCCACTGGGAACGTGTTTTAACCCTTGACAATGTTTAAAACGTTCAGTATCAACGTATTAGTTTTAGAACTTTTTTTTAAATTTGATCGCCATAATGGTTCCGCCATTTTGAATTAAAAAAAAATTTTTTTGAACCACTCTAATCTACATACACATATGTACTATATATGTAAACAAATAAGCATTCATATGTTTGTCTAGTGTTTCAAGTCTCAGATGTCAAATTAGCGCACGAGCAACAACCGAAAATGGCTCAATTGTAAAGCGCAATGCATAGTGACAGCTGACAATTCAGTTGAAAGCTTTTAGGCGCCACAACCGTAATTTAAGTGCTTTTCCCAGGCTAACAGTCACTTGACTACATGCTTGTATGTATGAATGATACCAATGTAAGCAGAACTGGTTTGAGGATATGGCGGCAGACTAAGTAGGCGAAATAGCCAAAACGTTGATGGCTTGGATAAGCGTAGTGGAGCAAATACAAGAGTACTAAAGTAAGGATTCAAGGGGAATATGAATAGCCCATAAAATACATACATTTAGTGCAGTATTTAACCCTCAGCACCTAATTAAAAAAATTAAAATACTGCGCCGCATTAGCAACCATATAAATAATCGGAAGGAGTAGTAGTGAACCCCAAAAGCTGTACCATGCAAAGCAACCGAGTTCGGGAAGCTCACATATCATCAATCTAAAAGTTCTTGCCAACTATATATGCATAAAGCCAATTTTTTTTTTTTTAAACTCAAGCAACCGGCACATTTTTAGTTTTATCTTTTGTCGCGCCAAAAATTCGTGTGCTCATTCTTCTTTGCAATTCTTCTTCTTTTTTTCTTATTTCCTAAAAAACTATATGAAGTTTATTTATTTATTAGCCGCGCGCCAGATGTTTGCGCGCTACATACTACTCTTAGTAGGTAGGTATTGCAAAGCGAAATGCCCCCCAAAAGACGCGCTAAACAAATTGTTTGCACAAAAATTTTTGGCGCAAATAAAGCATAAGAAAGTGCCAAGTGTGAAAGATTTAGCACATTAGATAATGGCTGCTCGCGTGAGCGAAGACAGACAAGTGACTGACATCCAACAACGTCGCGCGAAAACGAAATGGGCACCGACCGCAAAATGAACCGAAATAAAATGGGGAAAAAGGCATAAAAAAGGATGAAAAATGCCTAAAAAGAATAACAAAGTAAGCGTGAAAAAAAAATAAAAATAAAATTAAAAATAAAGGAATGGCAATTTTAACGCGCACATTGAAAACGCGGCCACAGTTGGGCGCATGCGAGCGCCAACAACCCGGTTAAGCTAACAGACAGCGCATCAGACAAGCTGACGCGTCAGTGGTTTTGCGCCACAAAAGAAAATCAAAAATTGTACATAAAGCAATATTCAAACGAATGTGCATACGAAAGTGTGAATTTTTATCAGCTTTAAAAGTTTTTATGCTTAATTACAAGTTAATTTGCCTATTAACTGCAATAGCCGCATACCCCACATTCGCTCACCCGTGTGGTGTTCCGTCCGATGCGTCGCGTGGGATTGCTCAGTGCAGCGCTTGTTTAGGCTTTCTTGGTGCTGGTTGTTGCCAAAAAAATGTTGTAATAAAAGGCTAACAAGTTGTGGTATATTGTAAACAAGCCATTATTTTTGTATATATACCCGTAGACACATTTTCTCCATTATTCTGCGGTTAGTTGCTTAATATGTACGTATGTATTTGATAAATGGTCAGAAGATTTACACTAAGCAGAGTTTCTTCCCGATTCTGTCGAAGCTGTCGGTGTTACTCAACGCCATTTAATTCAGCCGGCAGCGCTTCCATAAGGCTCGCGGTGCGCCCGATCGCTGTGGGGCCCTGTTCACAGCATCTTTGCTTTCAGCAGGAGCGTGACATTCCTCGTGGATCGGCTTGCTCTTTTTTTGTCGAAAATTAATAAGCTACTCTACGGGTATTGAGTAATGGAACTCCATTTGTCGCGAGTGAAAATTTGTTGAGAACTGATCTCAGACAACAGGCAGGATATTGGTGTGGCGAAGTGTCAGGATCTCCGTTGTAAATGCAGGGTCAGCGTTCATAAGTCCGCTACAATAGTTCATAGAAACCACCTTTTCTCACGTCATAGTTTTCTTCTGTCGGAGCGTGGAAATGCGCTGAAATCAAGATTTNTTCATTTGTTGAGAACT